CACAGCAAATAATTGCTAACTCTGCTAGCTTTCACGTTGCCAGATGTCTATAAAGTCCCTACATTTTTGTAAAATTTGGCCACACTCTGCTATGAAATTATTTGCTTTAAATGAAAGCAACAAAAAGAAGAAATAAAATATATACATATAGAGTAGCCAGCTAGCTTAATAGCATTGCTGACTGTGCGCGTTGCCACATGTCTAAGAATTTCGTTTTTTTTCTTAACAGTGTGGTTACACTTTTCTAACTGTTTGGTGATCAAATTCAAATAAATAATATACGTAGGGTCTTTAATTGGCAGCTTGACAGATTTATCAGCTGCTTGAAGCATACAAATTATTGTTTCCTAACTTTTCTACTTTGATGGCTTTAATAACTTTTCTTAACAGTTTAGCTTTTAGGCATTGCCAGATGTCAAAAGGGTTGACTTTTTTTCTTCAAAGTGTGGACACACTTACAACAATCTGATAGGCAACAGATTTAAATTGAGAGCAGTTGAGAATGTGTTGCAGCTGCCAGCTACTTTAATTAAATAAATATAATTAAAGCTGCAGCAATCTTTAATGCAAATGAATATTTGCACTCTTAAATATATTTGAACAAGAACAAAAGGCGCTTTGTGGCAATTAATTATAAAGTATCTACGACTTTTAAATGGGTCTTCAAACAAAATGTTGCTTTTAGCTTTGCATATTACTTATGTGCATATATAATTATGAATAGCTTGAGAGTGCCCGGATCCATAGCTAAGTATTATAGATAGTACTAACGATTCGCATGTGCTACCTAAAATTGCCATTTTTTTGTGCGGCGTATAAATATAAATAAATGTTTCCGAGCGTAAATATTTAATTTGCCATTATTGTTGTTTCCCATGCCAAATATCCAAAATGTATTCGCAGTCGATCGCCGAACTCTGATCGCAGCTCGTTTATTGTGCACGTTTTCAGCTTTGTTTAACTAAATAATTTATATCACGTCGTTTTTCTCTTTGTTTGTGGGCGTGAGAAGATTTGAGTGCTTTTTATTGTACGTACACCCATTTTTTGTGTTTAAGCCAAATATTGGATCAGTCTTAAAATTCTTTTCTTTTTTCTTGTTGTTGTTTTTTGTTGCAGTTCAGCTCGTTGGATCCGCACACGGCGCAGTGGCGCGTGGACCCGTGCCAGCTGGAGGACACCGCATCCGAAATGGAGGATCCGGTGCGTCTGTTTCACGGCCGCGTCCGCATTGTCTGGGAGCACGGACAGCACGCGCTCCGATCGAAGCTGATGGTCACGGTGCTGGGCAAGGGCGAGCAGTGCAAGGACCCGAGCAAGCATCAGTGCCTCAAGATTGGGTGAGTGCGCAAAATCATTTGTAAAGTCTATTTAATTCATCGTCCATCTCTCGACAGCGATGAGCCCATTCTGTGCATCTCCAAGGAGCTGGCCTGCGACGGGATACGCCATTGTCCCTACAGCAATGAGTACGACAGCGACGAGGACTACGAGCTCTGCTATAAGCAGCGACGTCCTGGCGCCGGCGCGCTGCCCTCCGCGCTCGAATCCGATCTGTTCGAGCAGTTCGCCTTGGAGGTGTTCCGCAATCTGTTCGCCTACGATGCGCCCACATCGCCCGAGGATCTGCCGCGCAACGACAGCGCCAACGACCCAGCAGCAGCAGCTGGCGGCAACAACTCGACAACGCAGCTACGCAAAGTGCACACCAAAGACATGAAGAAGCCGGGCGAGGCGAATGGTGGTTCGCCCAATGCCATTGGCGTGGACTCCTCCTCGCCAGAGCTGGATGCGAAGGACAATGCCACCGTGGAGAACAACAACAATGGAAGCGGCAGCGGTGCTGGCAGCGGCTTTACGCGCCGCAACTCGACGCGCACGGGCCTCCACTCGGATCTGTCCAAGTACGGGCCGTGGGGCTATCTGATGCTCGGCATGCTGCTCTGCGGCGGCGCTCTGCTCATCTGCGGCCTCTGGGGTACGTTCAATTGCACACTTTTGTAGTCCAAGCCACACATAGACATTTATATTTATGTGAGTTTTTTGTTTTCGTTCATGCTCGTGTTTTGCTTTTTTTATGTTATGTTTTTTGTTTTTGTTCTTACTTTGCGCATGCCATTCAACTATGTATCTGTATCTGTATCCGCATCTATGTCTATGTCTATGTCTATGTCTAACTTTCGCAATTCTCGCCATTAACTGACGTGGCAACCGTCCCCCGTCCCCCATCCTGCCATCCGCCCGTCATCTGCCAACAGTTTCCTGTTGTCGCTTGAGCTCTCACATTCAATCCATACGTACACTTGCAGCATCCGCATCGCAGCACGCCGTCAACAATGAGCGCGAGGCGGCGCTGGCCGCCGCCAATGGAGCGGGCTTGGATCCCACCAGTGCCACATCGCCGCCCAACTACGAGGAGCTGGATCCGCCGCCGGCCTACTCGGTGCTCTTTCCCAATCAGAAGGCCGCCAGCAGCAATACGCTCAATGCGCTCGATGGCGCGGTGGCCAGCACAACAGCAGCAGCTGCAGCTGCTGCAGCGGCGGCAGCAGCAGCAGCAGTCGTAGCAGCAGCAGCAACAACAACAAGAACAGCAGCAGCAGCAACAACAACTGCAGCAGCAGCAGCGGCAGCAGGAGAACAACAACAAGCCCAACAGCAAACAGGAGACGAGCCAACAAACTAGCTCTAAGCCTGACAATTAGGTCGCCACAATATGGCGCATCTGGCAAAGTAGTTTAGGTTTAGGTTCCAACTTCTTTGACTGACTCTGATGCAATTAGTTTAGCAAAACAATTTTTTAGTTCTAGCTCCTAAGCGTAACTCTATGTTTAATGTTTAATGATATATCTATGTATAACTGGTCAATCCGATCTATCCCAAACAAAATCAGAAATAGAAAAACCTCCCGTGTTCGTCGTCATGCCAAGCATGGCGACCGCACAATCCTACATTAAATCCAATCCAAACGAATTGTTCAGTTGCCTGCAATGTGAAAATAAATACTTATACTATGTAATGTAATACTTAGCCTATGTAAAGAGCGATTGTAAAAAATGACAAATTATAACAATAACAACGACAAGTCGCATAATTTTTGTATCTTGGTTAATCTAAAATTTAATGTGATATATATTTTAAATAAAATAATCAAAAATTAAGATCTTCCAATGTCCTAAAGCTAAAATATCGTCTCTAGCTAGCTTTAAGTAAGTTATTTCCAAATTACTTTAATTTAAAACTTCACGCAACTTGTCCATTTCCTTTAGAATCATGTTGAGTCCTATCTCAAATGACTCGCAAGGACCAGTGCTATTAACTGGCCAAAGATCTTGAAAAGCAGTCTGAAAGTTTCTGTAATATCATGATATTGCGTGATATAAACCTGTTCCTCGCCCGCCCATCGACACTCCGTCGATGGTTCCCAGATGACCCACATATCCTTGGTTATACCATACCATTGATATAGTCCTGGCGAACCTACAGTTCCAAATCCGTGCAAAATATGCTCGGTTATGTTCCAGAAATATGAATATGTATGCGTTTCTTTCAGCCGTTCCCTAGTCCCTCAAAGGTTCCTAGATGACCCACATATCCTTGGTCTTACCATACCATTGATATAGTCCTGGGGAACCTATAGTTCCAAATTCCGGCATAATTCGCTTAATAGCTTTATCCACAATTAAATTAGGGTTTAAAAATTAACGGTCGCAAAATACCTTTTGCACTGGGCCCGGCCGTTGGCTCACATTTTTCATATAAAAATTCAGCTGAAATACCAGGCGAACAGAAATGTCCAGCAGGCAGATTGCATAGAAATTTTTTTGCAAAAATGATGACTTGCAATTTTCTTAACAGCTCACTGTTAAGCAGCTGTTATTTAACAGTTCGCTGTTAAGTCTATGTAAGTTAACAGACCACTGTTAACATCCCCTGGTAAATGGGGGCGTCCGGCTTGAACGGAAATTCAGCTGAAATACCAGGCGAACAGAAATGCCCAGCAGGTAGATGTACAGAAATTTTTTTTGCAAAAATGATGACTTGCAATTTTCGTAACAGCTCACTGTTAAGCAGCTGTTATTTAACAGTTTACTGTCAAGACACTGTTAGTTGACAGACCACTGTTAACATCCCCTGGTAAATGGGGGCGTCCGGCTTGAACGGAAATTTGGCAAAAATACCAGGCGAACAGAAATGACCAGCAGGTAGATGCACAAAAATTTTTATGAATGAAAAATTTCATTGCATACCCAAACGGGGCGTGCGGTGGCGCTGCTGGGTGCTTACATTTGACCGAAAATTCGGCTGAAGCACCAGGCGAACAGAAATGACCAGCAGGTAGACGAACTAAAAATTTTTATGAATGAAAAATTGCATTGCATACCCGCAAGCTGCAAAAATATTCGTTGCAGTCAGCTGCTAAATCAAAGATCGCTAATTTTAATGGCATACTTTTACTGTCGCTTTTGGCAGGGGTACTTGAAAAAAAATGCATTTTCTTTCTGGTGCGCATTTTGCAGGTTTTGCAGGTCCTTTAGGTTCACCAGGACTATATCAATGGTATGGTATGACCAAGGATATGTGGGTCAACTAGGTACCATCGAGGGGGCTGGGGCTGTTGCTGGGAGACGGCTGAAAGACAACCATGCATGTTTTTTGACCATTTCGGTCCTTTGGTTCACCAGGACGATATCCTTGGCATGGTAAAACCAAGCATATATAATTCATCTAGGAACCATCGATTTTACTAGTCTGTTCGCTCGGGGCGTGGCAGATATAGCGAAAAAACAGCACTTTCTTTATCAAAATTTTAAATGGCCATATCTCGGATTTTGGAAAGAATGGGAACGTTGAACGCGTGAAGGTCCTTAGAATAAACTGGTGTAATTTTGTTTTGTATATCACTTGATCAACTAGGCAAAAATACAGATGCTAGGTATAGAAGTATATTGCAGATACAAATGCCTTTAGTAGTAGTCCACAATAAAAGTCCGTTGAAATGTTTACATCGAATTTTAACATCATTGTTTTTATTCAGGTAAATTAAATGATGTGTGTGAGTTGTGTGGGGATAGCTACAAACAGCTGGAATAAGGCTCGAAGAAAGGCAGCTGAATGGAGGAGAATTAAGGGGGAGAGCAGGGATAATTTTCACATATAATTTGCATTTAGTGCTAAATGAGTTTTGTTTCGTTTTGTTTTATGTTGTTGGATTTGCTTGATTTTCTTCGTATTGTTTATTTGCTTGATTTAAGTTTATTTACGCGTTTGTCGCTCTAGATGCGTTTAATTGTTAAATGGTTTTTGCTTAGCTTTGTTCTTTTTTTTTTGTTCCTGTTGATATATGTTAGTTGCACTCTGATATCTTTGCCGGGTTCCCTTATGGTATACATATGTATATGTATCGTATTTTGTGTTTGATTTATTTATTTAGTTGTATATTTGCTACAAATAGTTCCATTTTAGGTATGTCCATTCACTTAGCTTTTTGGGATACTACACCAAAATACTCTAGACTGCATTAACATTCATTCTCAATCGTAATCGTAACTATAACAATATTATACACTAAACAAAATGAAGCATTAAGTTGACAGCCCAAAAGCAACTGAGTTCATCAGCTTTCTTGTTGGGGACTCGAACTTCATTCGACTCGATTCAGTAAGCCTGGCTGCTAGAATATTATCTGCTATTATTATAGTTAAATTTGTATCGATTTATTTATCGTTATTTCTATACTTTACTTAATTGCCAATTTCAGCATTTCACGTAACTCGTTTAGCGAAAAGCAAACATCGCGTTCGCATATTTTGGGTTGTCCTCTATTTTTCTTTCTCATCTTCATCTATTTCATTTAAATTACATACTCATAAGATTTGGGCGTTTTCATGTTCATCGACTTCATTCATTTTACATTTGTCTTAACTCCTAACATGATCGTAGAGCTATACATATACATATATACTATATATTTCAAATATAATATTCACTAAATATTTGCTAAAGATCGTATAATTAAATGGGTGCTCGATGTGTTTAGTGTTTGTTTGGTGCAGCAAATATTTATGTATCTTTTGTTCTGTTGGTATAGAAAAACCGCAGACTTATTGACTAATAGGCCATAGGGGTACACTTAGAATAATACACATTCGTACAGTTAGTGTTTAGAGTAGTTCAACAACAATGTGGTTAGAAAACGATGTCTAATAAAATGTCTCTAGTTTTTTGTTTCTCGTTCGATTTATCGTTTTTCAAAAGTCATTAAAAATAAATTCAAATTCAAAAGTTATTGCACAATTGAACGTGCTAAATGTGTTTGCTTTTTCTTCTTATTTTTTTTTGGTTTGGTTTGCATTCGCTTAAGTTTATGCACTACAAATACGATGCTCTCGTTACTCGTTACAGCTTACTCGCTACTCGTTACAGCTTACTCGCTACTCGTTACTTTCTCTAGCGCCTACAATTTAGTTAATACTTATTTATTCGCATGTAAAATTGGACGCCAAAACAATGAACAAAATTAACGCAAAGCCTTACAAATATTTTGAATAAATGTAATTAAATCTCAAGTGCGCTCTCAAAAGTTGTACGCAAATAAATTCATATATTAAGTGCAAATGTGTGACTTTTCTGCATGTCCGTGTGTGTGTGTGTGGGTATGTGTGTGTGTGGGTATGTGTGTGTGTGGGTATGTGTGTTTGTCTGCTGTGTGTGTGTGTGTGTGTGTGTGTGTGAGAATTCAGCACATTTGTTAATGTAGTTTCGGTTTGTTTCTTTGTCAATAAATAAGGCCAGTGGATACGCATACATCATAAAAGTACAATCATAATAATATTCATATATACTAAGTAGTATTTATCTTATATACATACGATCTCTAGTGGTTGGTTTGTTCTTCTTCTTCTTGTGTTGTTGTTGTTGTAAAAAGCGCACACATACACACAACTAGCGTATGCATGTGTTGTATTTTGTATAAGACTAAGTTCTGTCAATGCCTAGAAGCCGCAACTTATAGAGTCAAGCCTTATAAATGTTCCACTATCGAATTTCTCTTCTCGAACTTTCTTCTTGTTTTTTTTTGCTTGTAAGTAGGTTTTAGTTTTTTTTTTAATATTTTTAGTTATATTTTTTTCTTAACTTCGGTTATGTTTAGTTTGCTTTCAAAGTTGTTGGTATAAAAAATAGAAAAAATTTCGTGGCAATAAAAACGTTTTGTCTCAAATCATCATCAAATGTTTATCAAGATATTCTCAAATAGTTGTAGTAATAAAATCTGCTTAGCTGCTACAAGGGTATTACAGGGTATACAATATGCGTTCGCTTTCAACACTAAATACAATGTGAAACACGGATATGAATGACTTAATCTTCTATCATATATAAGTATAAGTACCACATATACATAAGTGTATATATGTATATATATATGTATATATAGAATACGCTGCTGATTGCTTAAAAGTTGCTCGAAAAATTAGTGTTGCATACAAATACCATGTATGCCTGTATGTATTATATAACTACATGCGGCGATTTCTCAAGCGATTAAAAAGCACATTTGTTCATAGGTGTAAGTGTGTTTTGTGTGTGTATTTGTATGTGTGTATCTGCGTATGTCAAATTCAAAGCTGAGCTGGCAGCTACTTCTTAATCCGGTTTCATATTAACTACTCGTTACTTGTTACTCTTTACTTTTTACTCGTTAGTTCTAGCTCGTTAGTTTTAACTCGTTACTGATTACTCGTTAGTGCCATCTCGTTACTGATTACTCGTTATTTCTAACTCGTTACTCGATACTTGCTACAAATTACTTGTTAGTACTAACTCGTTACTATTTACTTTTAGATTCAGCTCGTTCCCGGTTAGTCTTAACGCGTTACTTGATACTCGTTCCTTTCCACTCGTTATTTATTACCACTAGCTTGTTGCTTGTTACTTACTAGTTCTTACTCCTCACATTTTACTCGTCAATCCGATTCGTCACTTCTTACTTGTTAGTTCTAACTCGTTACTGATTGCTTGTTATTTTTAACTCGTTATGATTACCCGTTAGTTCTAACTCTTGATACTTGATACTCTTGAGTTTCAACTCGTTATTGGCTCTTCGTTAGTTCTACCGCATAACTTTCCACTCGTTACTTCATTAGTTCTTACTCGTAGCAGGTTACTTGTTAGTTCTAACTTCTTACTTTTTACTCGTTAGTTCTTCTCATTATTCTTAAAGCTTACGATTTCTGTTGCATCTAGAAGACGTGTCCCTTGTGGTGCTGTCGTTCTTTCATTTTTCCAATGGTATGGCGCAGTTGTTGTTGTTGGTGAATGGTGTTTGTTGTTGTTGTTGTTGTTGTTATCGCTTGTTGTTGGCTGTGAAAATTGTGTCAGACAAACGTTGAGATGATGCTTCAATGCTCCCTTCCTCAAAGCCGTCAACCGGAAGCATTCCTGTGCTGGCATTAGGGATCCGGATGTGGATATTGGGGAGCGGTTTCTGGGATTGCCACTACAACAATAGTTGGGGCCGAGCCCAAGTCAGGTCTGGCGGGCGGGGGTGGCCAATTAGTGCGTTTGGGTCTTAGATTTTTTGTTCTTGTTGCCTCACTCAGTCGCTCGAGTCTTTTGGTTTGCTCTCGTTGGAGAGTCTCGGCTATCGCTGTGAGCATAACTAACAATAATTACCATTACCATACCACGGAAAGGTCCAGCACCATCAGTGCGGAAGCATCAAAGGTCGCGCCGTGCTGGTCAGTCTGTGGTGCGACTTGTCGCCACCGCCGCCATACTCATCGTACGCCAGCAGGGGCGAGATCTTGAGCCCGGTCTTCTCGGGTATGATCTTGAAGTGCGGCTGATCGGCGCTGATCAGCAGCGGTCGCTTCATGGACGAGTGCAGATACGGGTCGTGTCCATGTGGCATATTGCTGGCGGCGGCGGCGCCCAGGGGTCGCCTTGTGCTCGGCACATTCATTTTCTTGCACGGCTCCGGCTTGCTCTCGTAGTTCAGCTGACAGTTCTCGGGCGAATACTTGTTCGGCTTGTATATGGAGAAGATGTTGTTGATCAGACTCAGGGCGGAATGGCCGCCGGCGGAGGCGTGATGTATGCCCGCCGTTGGCTGTTGGGTGAGCACGCTGCCGCCTAGCGTCGTGTGCTCCGGATAAAAGTTGTTGTACTGATACGAGGGCAGCGTATCCGCTGTCGGATATACCTTATGCCCATAGCCATAGACTGGAGCTGGAGCCGGTGCCGGTGGCGCTGCGCCGCCCAGATGACGTGCCTGCTGATGGTGGAGCGCTGGGATCCCAGCGGGATTCTCAAAAAAATTGTAGTTCGCCCCATTGTTGGAGGAGCCGCTCGAATCGAACTGCGGCGGCGACGGCATGCCCTCGAGCAGCGATTTCTTGATCATCAGCCGCTCGTGCTCCCGGTCATGCATATCGATGGGCTGTCCATTGTTGTAGCAGCGCACGTTGACATTCTTGACCTTCAGATTGCTGTGCATGTTGCGGCGCATGTCCATGTTGATGGGGCTGGGCGGCTTGTCCAGCTGCTCCCAATACTTTTCCAGATCAATATTGAAATCCTCCAGATCGATCTCTGTCGTATCGGAACAGCTGTCCTCGTCGAACAGACTGGGCGGCTGCACCTCCAGCAGGGATTTGCTGCGCGTGGGCCGCTGATACTGGGCCTGATAGCGCCGACTGGGACTGGCTGCCATGTGGCACTGGGCCAGATAGCGTTCGTCCTCGTCGAGGAATTTGTCCTGCAGCAGCAGACGCTCGCGCTCGGCGCGTATGAACTGCTCCAGATCGGTGTCGTAGCGACAGTGCATGTGCTCCTCCTCCTCGGCGGCCGGATGATGGCCCGGACAGTGCGGCGGTGTGCGTCTTGTCGCACGGTGCTGCGGCTGGCGATGGCAGCAATAGTCCTCCGACGCACAGCAGCAGATCACGGTGGTTGCGGGCAGCAAACGCTGCTGGCCACGCCCCAGCCGATGATCTGCCTCTGCGCGCTCCTCAAACAGCCAATCCGCGGGCGAGCGCAGACTGAGATTCAGATTCCTGTTGCTGCCAGCGCCGGCTGCGGCGCCATAGACATCGCCCAGCCGGCGCCTGGAGCCGGCATAAATATCATCCAGCAGGCACTTGGCACTGGTGCACTGCTCCCGCCCACAGCAGCTATGCGCCATTGCGCGCTCATCCAAGCTGTTGCTATACAGCATATTCATGGTGCGTCTGTATGCCTCGCGCTTGTCGCGTCGCGTATTCGAGGCGGGCGGCAGCTCGTAGTCAATGATGTCGAAGGGCATCGTCTTGGTGGACGCGCTGAACGAATACGATTTGGGCACGCCCGCGCGATTCTTCAGTATCGAGGTGGTTGTGGCCGTCCCGGGCCCGACTCCTGCGCTTGTTCCAGCGCCTGGGCCACCCGACTCATAGACGTTGCCCTCGAAGCAACAACTCTGCGATTTGGGATATTGAAACTCCTTGCAGCTCTTCGAACGCTGCAGTCCGTAGCCGGGCGAGCCTTCGCCCTCGCCGCGACGCTCCCGCATGGGCAGCGCATCGTCTGCGTATTTCTCGTCCTGTTCGCGTATGTCGCGCAGAATGCGATTGCTGTAGCTGCCATATTTGAGGCAATCGGGCACATAGTCCTCGTCCAGATCGTCGGAACGATTCGAGTAGATGTTGTCCGTATACCAGGTGGAGTCCAGCTGCTTGGGCTTCGGCTTGGCCAGCAGCAGTTTGTCCCGCTTCGACTGGCGATAGCTCTCGAAGCAGATGTTCTTCATCTTCTCCAGCTTTTGCTCCCGTATCCGCTCCCAGTTCTCCCAGTTCTTGTCGTTCTTGTTGCGCCCGGACAGTATGAGTACATCCCTGTCCTTGTCCCAGGTGAAGCCCGCATCGGCATCGCTGTACTCGATGTTCAGGCGCTTCGTCTCCCGGCTGGGCGATGTCTGCGCTTGTGACTGCGAATGTGTGTGTGTGTGACTGTGTGTGTGTGTGTGGGTTATGGGCATTGAGCTGCTATTGGCTAAATTGTTATTATCGGTAACTACAATTCTAATTCTACGCTTGGTCTTGTCGCCCGCTCCGGCGGCACGCGACGTTTGCATTGATGATTTTGCTGGCGGCTCTTCCTCTTCTGGCTGTCACACCTCCTGCAGATACTTGATGGGACAATAGCCCTGACGATTGTCCGCCGAACGCACCATGACCATGCCATTTACCTCGTCGCCAGTCTACATTTACATATACACATGGAGCAGTAAAGAAGGGTTAGCCTCTGCTGTTCTCTGTGGCTTCTATATAGATTTCTACTATTTAGTTGCCTACCTGTATGACAATCTGGTCGCGTAGGAGCGTCATATTCTCGCCGCGTTCGCCATCGGAGACCTGGAGATTGTGCGTCACCTGGAGCGGCTTCTCGTTGGCATTGAGACGCACACAATACTTGGATGGAAAGAAACCGACGCGTCCCAGCACTTTGCCCTTCCACCAGTCCGGATCGGAGGTATCGATGACTGTCACCTGCCGATTGAACAGTTGTGTGTGTGTGTGAGTGTGTGTTAAGCAACAGCCATTACCCAGCTACTTGTCCTTGCCAGGACAATGGCAAAAAAAAAAAAAAAAACGAGTAGAAAACAAAATAAAAACAATAGCTGCAGCTTGGCTAATGCATATGTAAATATCTCGCACAATGTGCCAGCGGCCATGGGGGCGTATGCGCAATCCCAATGCCAATCAGAATGTTTGCACAAGCCCCACCCTTCCCCTTAACTACTATTATTGCTATTTTTTCTATATACTACTTCTTTTTGTTTTGTTTTTTTTTGTTCTTATTTTCCATTTGCTTTGCTCCGTGTGTACATAATAAAAATGCGCTGTGTACATTATAAATGAACCAGTTGTGTGTTTGTTTTCGTTCTTGTTTTTGCTCATATCGAATATATTGCTATACACTCACAGATACAAACACATATGTCCATAGACAAACATATTTATTTGTATATGTGTATGGGTGTGTTTTGTCCAAGCAATTTCCTGCGCTGCCATTGTCCTGCTTTATGTGTGCGATAAACTCACAGTTTAGCGGATTAAACAAAGCGCTTTACTTATTTATTTGCTGCATGCGAAAATATGTGCAGAGAATATTATTACTCTGCAAGCCGAGTCGAAAGGGTATGCAGAGCATACAAATTTATATGACTTACTGCAGCTGCAGCTGCGACTTTAACATTCCATAATTAAATTTAATTGAAGCTTCTTTCTTATTCCTCGAACAAAATGAATAAAATTCTAAATAATTAAGTATATTTACACATTCAATTTAAGTATTTGAGTGTGGAAACAACTACCCGTCTGATAATGTTCCCTCGATTTATTGTAAATACAACTCACCTTGTAGCCGGCCTTGAGGTCCAGTTCATCGGCATGCCGCGCCTTAAAGTTGTAGAGTATGACATACAAATTGGTGGGCAGCAGACGATGTGATTTCTTGAAATTGGAAAAACATTACAGCGTGCTAATAAACAACATGTCAGGCAGAGATTGTCAATAGAGAGAGAGAGAGAGCAATAAAAAGAGAGAGAGAAAAAAAAAAAAGAAAACGAAAGTGGGAGCCAAACGGAAATGGGGGGAATACCTGGGCATGTCTTACAGGTGATAGGCATGGCGATGTGCTGGCCGAGGACTGCGATTTCTCCATTTCATCGGGCAAATCGACGCTGCCGCCGCGCATGCCGCGCGTGGCATACAGAAGCTTGCGGCCCGGATGCGAGGGGCTCGATGGCGCTGTAATGGATATGGTTATGCGACACAAAAGAGAAGAGAAGAGAAGAGGAGAAGGAGAAGAAGAGCAGAAGAAAGGCAGCGTTAATGGCCAACAGCGATGGCAGCAAGGACATGCAACAAACACACACACACACACACTAACACACAGAGAGAGAGGCTGACTCTCAATGTGGTTGTCAGGTTAATTAAATGCACGCATGATAGAAAGAATAACAAGAAACAGATACAAGTTACAAGTTAAAGATACAGATACAGAAACAGTTACAGATATAGATACAGTTAAAGATATAGATACAAAGCGGTAAATGAGGAAAATTATAGAGGCTGTTCGTGTGTGCTTCAACAATCAAATCGAGCCGTTAACTTTGCAGCTGGGCGATAAATTCAAATGAAGCCTTAAGTTGAAAATATTCAAGATACTTTTTTTTACAGAGATGATGTTGTATATGACTGTCGAGTGAAGTGGAGCTGAATGGAACACGGTTTACTTTTCGTCAATTTCTACTAAGTACTTTCAGCTAGTGCTACAAGAAAAACAAACAATGAAAATGTATTCAAAACAAGCTAAAAAAAAAAACAGAAGGAAAACTACATCAAACTTTGAGGCGTGTTTACAAATAAAGCAATTATTGTTAATTGTACTATATTAATTCTGTAAATTCTTATGTTCCATTTGTCGTGTTTATCGCTCGTTGTACAAGAAGTTTTATCTGTTTAGTTATTTCGAAAGGCTTTCGAGTCAAGAAGAATTAGAAGCAGAGTTAAGAGCAGTTAAGAGTTCTAGTTGAAGCCCAAAGAACGGGTGATCCAGTTAAGTGGATACTGATTGATTTAAATTAGCTGAAGTTATTGTTAATAGATATTTAGATTTGTTGGTGGTTGGTTGGTTGGTTGGGTTAGGTGCAACTCCGTTCGGTGTGGAGACGTTGGTGACGGGAGCGGGAATTGTGGTTAGCTACTTACAGTGCAGCCGGCTGTTGTTCGATGGGGGAGTACTGTGCTCCAGATGCCCTCCCGAGCCGCCATGATAGTAGCCGCTGGATGTCGAGGCGGCCGTTGCCGGCAGATGCTGGCGGCGCCTAAACTGACCGTGCAGCTCCGAGGATTCGGGTGAGTCCAAGCTCAACGATTTCATGCGTAAGTTCAACTTTTGCCGGCGCGGTGAGTGCGGTGCTGTTGTTGTTGTTGTTGATGTTGTTGTTGTTGTCGCGGGTGTGATGGTGTTTTTTGGTTATTTGGATCGATCATCGGATCATGATCATTTTTGGACAATAACGCGACAGACACAACATGATTTTTGGTTTGGTTTTCGGTTTTCATACGAAAAAAGCGAATAAAATGTATAAAAAAAGGTTGCAATTTAATTTCGTTTTGTTCAGAATTTCGTATACTAAATGCGTCTATATGCAGCTACAGCTCTAGGAAAAGTAACCAGAAAAACATAAATAACTAAACAAATAGTATATATATATATATATATATGTATAAATATATATACATGTATAATTTTATAAAATTTAGTTTTGTACTCATTTTAAGCTAGAACTGAAATTTGAAAACAAAACAATAGGACACAGATTAAAGATAGAGTATATTTGCAACAGAGCAACATTCAACACGTTTAAAGAGACAGCAAAGTGTATCTGGTGTATTTTGGGTGTAGTTTTTTTCTAGGCGCCCCGTGCCAGCTGCCGTTTATAAGAAAAAGTTCATTGCGTGTAGTTCAGTGTAGTTCTTTGGCATTATTATTATTTTAATTATTATTATAATAATGAATACAAAAAGATATTGGACGAGTCAAAAAGACAAATAGTTGGAGCATTCGTAAAAGTTATCTGTTTGCTGAACGATTCTCTTGACTCAAAAATATTCTGAATTGAATTTCAGAATTTCGGTTTTATTTTGTATTTTTTACTTTGTTTTTATGGTATTTACAACAAGCAAATCGTGTGAGGTGCATTAATAAAATACTAAAATACTTTAAAATACATTTAAATTTGTAGCTAATTACCGAAAGAAAGAAAACACACACACACACTCACATGCTACTCGTTTGATATTTAGAATTGAAGTTTAACTAATTTATACAATAATATTGATTATTTTAGTTTAAGTTGAGTATTTTATAATAATTACTGTGCTGCTTGTTTTAAATATTTCATTAAAGTAAACTAATCTTAAGGCTTTCAGTGCTAAAGACGAAGAAATAATAATAATAAAAAAAACAAGATCAAAGATATGTGTGTATCTGGGTAAAACTTATTAAAATTATAAATAAATTAAAAATAAAATCCAATGTAGATCTTTCTGTCAGCTTGTCGCAGCTCGAATTCAATTTCAAATTCAATTTTAATTCAAACGCACGCGTCTCTTGGTCTTGGACTCGTCGTGACTGGGCTCGGGACTCTTGAGGATGGTTCTGGTTAGCATCAGCGGCTCGCCAAAGGGCCGCACGATGTCGGTTTTCGTATTCGTTGCAGCTGTAGGCATATATTCCAGATAGATATATATATATATATTTAGATATATAATCATTGGATGGGTTTATTTTGGAATGCCAAGCGACGATTGTTAGTGAGAGCTGCTTAGTGGGCTCGACTTTGGCATGCTGGAGCGTATTAAAACTAATTAAGTTAAACGAAGACAAGGCAAAAGTATTAAACATTAAGACGGCAGCGTTCATGCATAAAGCGGCGCAACTCGGCCAGAACAGACACTGTCCTGGGGCCAGCATGTAATAGAGCAGAAAAAAATAATCCAGCTGAAAGCTCAAGCTCTGGCTCTGGCTCTGGCTGCAGCTATCTGACTGTGCCTGGGCCGGCCTGGCTCCCAGCAATCTCTCGGACCAGGCCGAAAAGAAAACATGCAAATGGTATGAGCAAATGTAAAGAAGAAAAATGAAAATCCCAGTCGCAAGTTCCAATCTAAAGGCGAAAAAGAGACACAGAGAGAGAGAGAGAGCGGGAAGGAAATTGTGCGCCACAACAAATTTTAGCATAATTATGTTGCAGGAAACTTGAAGTCGAGCAGAGAGCGGCTAAGCAGCCCAAAGATAAAAACACAAAAAGAAAAAAACCCGTTTCCCAAGCTGCCCCCTCTGCCCCACTCTGCTCCCTCCCGGCCAGCTATCTCGCGCGGACATGGCAGCGAATAGATTGAGAATGCCATTAAAAATGCGGCAGATATTAAGCATAAATGAACTCGGCTCCAACTTGGCCAGAACTTCCATTTTTATGCGAACTGCAACTTGCAACTGTGCAACATTTGTTTGTGCGCATTTCATGTACTCTGCAGTCATGAAAAACGCATGAGCTGGGCCTTAATTAGCTAGACGTAGGCAGAGGGAGCCTATTTGGCGCTTAAAGCTTGATCAGCTGCTAAAGATTCTTACTTTTTTAAATTGTGTGCAATTCTTAAAGAAGTACACCCCGATTTTTAACTTTATTACTTGAGCTTGTTCACGACGATATCGCAGATTTAAAGAGTTGCCAGCTTAGTAGCTTATTTCAAGCTATTTTTAGACAATGTTTAGGGTTTCTTGGTTGCGAATGGCTTTAGTTTCCAGATACAAGTCTGAAAATCGAATGCCAAAATATGTTTTTGAGTTGAAACATGAAAATTTGGGGCCTTTATCTCAGGTATAGCAAATGTCTAGTGTAGGTTTTATAAAAAAGGCAGATCTGTTAAATCTCACTTTTGCAGGGCATCTGCTTGTCGAGCAAACTCAACTGAAACATTTCAACTGGCATTTTTATATCCATGGAGAGGGTATTATAATTTTGTCACGAAATGTGTAACGCATAGTAGAAGACATCTCCGACCCGAGAAAGTAGATATATTCTTGATCAGCATCAACAGCCGAGTTGATATAGCCAAGTCCGACTGTACGTCCGTCCGTGCGCCCGCCTGTCTGCCCGTCCGTCTGTCTGTTGCTAGGCGAACTAGTCTCTCAGTTTTAAAGCTATCCTCTTGAAACTTTGCATGGGTCCGTCTATCTGCTGCAGGCAGTACAAATGTTGGCAGCAGCCTGATCGGACCACTATATCATAACACTCTATCGGACCTATATATCAGGTAAGTTCTCGTATGAAACATTATTTGGTTAAACGCAATAGCTCGATCAACTCCAGCATTTACTAGTTTAACTATGATGCTTACATATGAGCCATATCTTAGCAAGAACGTACTACTATATTATAAAGCTCTCTAGGAAGAATCGTTAGATAAAACAGTTTTTGTATGGCAAAAGATTCTGTTTTCCAAGATACTTTCACGAAACGAGCTTCTCGAGTCTCACCTATCTGCCAAGCTTTAAGGCAAGTGTCTACAAGGGTATTAAATCTTCGGTGTGCCGTAGATATACATACGTTCTTTCTAGTTACTTTTATTTTATGTTTTCCTTCTGTGGCACACAAAAGCTGACAATGGCGCGCAATTTACACGGCACAGGCGCTGCGAGTTGTTTCTTTGGCTGCATGCAAAAACTTTCCCTTGCCCCGCACCCCGTGTCAACTGTTTCCCCCCCTACCCCACACAAGAGTCGAGTCCTGTTGCAGAAGGCAACTCGGCCATGTATACAAATTATGCCAATGTGCCTTGGCTAGGCTTGTAATTGCAGTTGTTACTGCTGCTGCTGCAGTTGTTGTTGTTGTTGTTGTTGTTGTTGTTGTTGTTGTTGTTGCTGCCGGAAATGAGCCGTTTGCCTGAAGTGTAAACTGGGTTAAGACTAATTGGCGTGCTGGGCCATTGTTAAAGCGAAGTTTGGATTGCGAGGCGTCTCTGAATGGAAATTAAAGTAAATGAAATGCATTTCGTTTGGTGCAATCAACTAAGGTGTAACATTTAACACACACACACACACACACGCGCGCACACATACACACACTCTATAAAATACAACACTTAGAGAGAGAGAGAGAGAGGGGGGGGGGGAGAGAGTGGGAGACAGTGACAGACAACAATAAATGCGACACGTAAAAAACACGTATTAAACATTCAATTGGAATAAAATGCAGTACTATTCCAAAAAGAACGGTTGCTTGTTCGAGTTGTTGTTGTTGTAGTTGATGTTGATGTTGATGTTGTTGTTGTAGTTGTAGTTGTAGTTGATGTTGTTGATGAACTGATAATTGTAGTTGCGGTTGCTGTTGTTGCTGTTGTTGCTATTGCTGCAAAACTGATTGCAGCACTGTCAAACGAATAGTTGCCGCACAAATCGATGACCGAATGTGCCGCACGTTGCGTGCGAATACAGGTAGCTGAATTTGTTGGTGTCTCAGTGTATTCGTGTGGATAGTTGTGCAGGTGTTGGTGGTGGTAGAAGTGATGGTGGTGGTGCTGGTAGTGTTGTTGTAGCTGTTGTAGCTGTTGTTCTTGTTGTTCGTTGTTGTATGTGACGTAATTACTTTCTGGCAATGATATCGAGCGATGCTGCTGCTGCTGCGACGAGCGCTGCTGTCGCAGCCGTCCAAAGCCGGACAATGGTCGAAATCCGGCAAACAGACGACGTCGCACTCCCGGATCATTTTGCAGATAGCTGCACGAGAGCGGCTGCTGCGCCAGCTGTTGCTGATGTGCTGGCGATGCCTGTTGCTGGTATAAAGATGTTGCTGTTGTCCCTGCTCCTGCTGCTGCTGCTGCTGCTCCTGTTGTTGTTGCTGTTGTTGCTGCTGCTGTTGATTGTTGTTGTAGTTGCTGCTGTTGCAGTGCGCTGGCCGTGTAGTAGTTAATGCCAAAGCCGCTGCTGATGTACGCCGAGCTGGACATATTGCTGACGGGCGCATAGGGCGCGGCATAGCGTTGATCTTTGTGCCAATTGCAGTTGCATTCGCAGTCGCAGTCGCAGTCGCAATTGTGTTTATCATTTTATATATAATACATTTTTTTTATATATATATTTTATTTTTTGGTTGTTAGGCAAGCGCAACAAATTGTGGCAAAGAGATGACACGAGAAAACATTTTGGTGTGTGTTAATTTCGAATTGTTGCACAATCAATAAATTAAGTGTCCTGTTTCAGTGTGTGCCTGCGTGTCTGTGTCTGTGTGTGTGTGTCTGTCTGTGTGTGGGTGTGTACAAATTAAGGCATTATATCATTATATATAATCCCATTATTGCAATCTCAGTCAAATTGGTCAAATTAGCCAATTGCCATGCCGCTGCAATAAACCATTTAATATTGTGCAAGCAACAAATTGGCTAGAGAAATGGCAAAGGCACAAAGGACGCAGCAACAAACTACACACACACACACACACACACATTTTGCTAATTGGAAATATGTAGCTGCAGCAACCACAGGGGAAATACAGCTGCTGCAGTTGCAAGTGATGAAGCTGGCGCTAATTATGAGGCCAACTGCTTTTGGCCTGGCCAATGCACTCGACTGCGACAGATTGCAAATAGGCAACGCCATTTAAACTGATCGCCCACAGCAAAAGGGGCGGGGCGTGCGTACGAGTGTGTGTGTGTGTGTGTGAAAATTGTGCTGCCAGCTGGCTGCGTCGATTTTCAATTGAAAATCATTCTTGCATGGCTGCCTTTGATATTGTAGCCGGGCATATGCACATTAATGCATATAGTACACTATACATATAGGTAATAAAAATACCCTAACAAATGTGGCGAGTGTTTGCGTCAGGCGTTTTTTTTAAATAATAATTAAGTTAAAGTAAATAAAATTAATAATAAGCATATTAAATAGTTTAATTATAAGTTTTCAATCATTACTATTGATTTATAATATTTGATATTGCATTTAAAATGCATTTAAAATATATTAATAAATTTTGGAGTTTTTTAAGTAGTGTATATAAATATTCGGCACGTCGCAGGCAGCTCTATTCAATTGATATTTGGGTCATGATAATAGATACAACGAGTGAAACTTGGTAGGAGCACCGAGCCAGAGCTCGCACAGCACGCATACACACTGGGGAAATACACACACACACACACACTCACACAAGCACACACACATACACTCCCATACATATGCAAAGAAGTCTCAAAGTCAAATAGTTATTAAATAAATGAACTATTTAAAACTTAAGCACTTGCATTTAGAGTTCAAAAAAAAAGCTTTTATTCAAGTTGTTTATTAATTTGAGTAAATATGTGTGTGTGTGTGTGTGTGTTGAATGATAGTATATATGTCATGATTAGCATATACAAAATACATAGAAACTAAATACATTAGTTTAGTTAAGCACTAGTTATATATGTGGCTAATTAAATGCTGTTGCTAAACGCTAGTTAAAGGAACTAAGCTAAACTAAACTACGATTTGGCAATTAGCTAGAGAAAAGCAGAAAGTTTGTATTTATTTTCGGGGCTGGCGCAAAGTGCCAAATAAAATGTGTGTGAGTGTGTGTGTTTGTGTAGATCTAAGAGTTGTACACAAAATGCATAGCTACATTGCTCAAGTGTGTGTGTGTGTGTGTGTGTGTGTGTGTGTGTGTGTGTGTTGGCCAAATTCTAAATCGCAAGCGTAGGAGCAGCAATCGGCAAGGCGAAGCAACGGGGCGTATGCGCAATGTATCTAACGTATGCAGTTGGGCAATCAGAATGGGAATTGAATTAAATATAAGAAATATGTCTCTGTGTGTGTGTGGGTGTGTGTGTGTGTGAGGCGGCAAAGGATGCGCTACTTGGCGTTTATACAAGTGCAGTAACGGCATTTAGCAGAGTTGTAGGTGATTAAAAAGTATTTAAGGACTTGCACTCACTGTAAGTGTGTATGTGTGTCTCTGTATGTGCGTGTGTGAGTGAGATGGCAAATATCAAATATTAGTAGCTGCTTTTATGGCTAAGCTAACACAGCACTTACATATGCATGTGCGTGCGTGTCTGTGTGTGTGTGTAGATAGTATATGTGTGTGTGTGTGTGTTACAATACTTTCAACTTTGCTTTAAAGATTGATTTACTTGGAAGTCTTGAATTTGGAGTTCAACGAAACGAAATGAAGAAATGTGAGCTGAATTGATTGATTGACTGTTTGTAACAGAAAGAGAGGGGAGGGGGAGAGACAGACAGACAGAGAGAGGGAGAGAGCGAGAGAGAAAGAGAGCAAAGGGTAACCGAGATAAAACCAAAGCTACAAACCATAAAAATGTCAAAAGAAACGACACAAAACAAGAGAAAAACAAGATAAATGCAAGAAACAGAGTTTATGAAATTATGAGCAGACTTTTAGTTAGATAGAGACAGACAGAGAGAGAGAGAGAGAGAGAGAGAGACAACAAAACTACTATGGCGTAATCTTTTTTTTTTCGGTTTTCATATTTTTTTTTTTTTTGTTGGTATTTTTTGCGGACCTGAGCTACTAGAGATATCTTGTGTGGGCACCGGCAGACCGCCGCGCTGCTGCTGCAGCTCCTGTTGTTGCAGCTGGACGCCCAGTATGGGCATGGCCACGGGCGGCGGACGAACACCACGGCCGGCGCGCACCGCTGCCGCCTGGGCAACCGATGCCAGGCTGCGCTGGTGCTGCTGATGCGCCTGCTGATGGATCTGCTGCTGATGGATCTGCTGCTGATGGATCTGTGGCTCCGGCAGCAACGGCTCCGGCACATTGACAATGGGTATATCGGCGATGGGCAGCCGTTCCACGGCGCTGCTGGCGAGCGGCTGCAGCGGCAAGACTGTGCTCGCCGCGCCCGGAGCTCCGGCTCCGGCTCCGGGTCCGAGGGCTCCTGCTCCGACACTGCTGCTGCTGCCTCCGTCCAACGTTTGTTTGCCCGGCACGTGGACGGTTTTGTCAGCGGCGGCGGCGACGGCGGCTGGAATATGCCCGGATTTGAGTTCGCCGGCTTGTTTCAGCACACGATAAATTTGATCGATTTCGGTAATTTCTTTTGTTTATTAATTTTTAATCGATTCGTGCCGTGGCATTTAAGTTGATTAGTTGCCGTAATTTTTGTTTTTTTTTTTGTTAATTTTAATTTTATTTTGTTGGTGGTGATGGTGGGCGTGGTGAACAGTGGTGGGCGTGGTGTTGGCCAGTTGTGGTTTGGTTCAATTTCGATACGTTTTTCGATTTTTGGTGATGTGCATTGAAGTGCATTAGTTAAATTTTGGCAAGTGGTTGGTTGGAACGATGATTCGTTATGAGCATCGATATGGTTTTCGAGGGGGGGGCGGGGGAGGGTTCTCTTAAGGGTTGATGTCAATGAAGATTCTTATATAACATATGTGTGTATATATGTATGTGTGTGTGTGTTTGTGTGTCTGTGTGTGTGTCGGTGTATGCTAGAGTTTACTTTAGCTTAATCCACACGTTTTGCATAATCCGCCTGCTCGAGCGCTTTTGTTACGGGTTTCAACAATGTTCGAATGTGGTTTTTTGTGTCTGAGTAAAGAACTAACGACAAATTTAGGTATAACCTCTAGTTAGGCGACATTTAGAAATGGTATCAAAAGCTAAATGTGTATCGATTGCTTGCCCAATTCTGAGAGTACCCAAAAGTAATCGATATATGTCTGTGTGAGTGTGTGTGTGTGTGTGCGATGTGTTAAACGATAGCTAGTGATAAGTTGAGCTGATTTCTGATTGATCTTATGTTATTTTTGTTGTTGTTGTTCTTGTGGCAATAAGATTTACTTAATGACAGCTCTATAACATGCTCCACTACGCAATCTTATTGTTGTTGTACGATTAAGTCGAAAAACAAAGTATATATATCGATAGTTCGATAGCTCGATCAATTTATTCTTTTGGTGAACTTTCATAGCCTGCATAATGTGTGAATGGATTTCGAAAAAACTCTTTTGTTTTGTGTATTCTGTTGAACTGAGTGTTGTTTTTGCTGATCTTGTTTTAATATATTTAATATATATATATATATAAGTATATAGATAAATGATAATTGTTTGATTTCATTCTTGTCTGGCTAATTAGGTGAATCAAAGCGCAACAATCAATCATTGCATTAACCGAATTCGGAAAACATAAAATCGATAACACAAATTATCTCTTAAATAAATGAATATTGAAAGTATAAAAACAAAAACCAAAATAAAACAAAACACAAGAGATACAATTCAAGCGCATGGCAATTGAGTATCTTTGCGCATACAATATAAGTATGATATATACTATATAGAGTAATACATTCGGTACCTAGTTGCGCAATGCGATTGATGAAGGGCGTCTTTTGACGAAATTTCGTATTGGGCACATTCAACAGATTTGCGCTTTGATTTTGTTCATCGGCTGCGGTTTGCCCACATTGGGGGCTAACGGACTCCTGTGGCGATGCTTTTTCGCGTTTTTTTGTTTTTATAGTTATTTTTATTTTCATATTTTTTTTTTTTTTTTTTTTTTGTGGAGGAAGAGGATTTTATAGTTGAGTATTTATTGAGTGGTTTTTGCTGTCTAACTAAAGTTTGCTTTTGTATTGTTTTTAAAGGCCAAAAACACAGTTCGAGAGACTTTTAAACAAGGACATATGTTAAATATTTGTAAATCGAAAAGTTTACTGCGTGTAAGCTTAGAGAATTCGAGGATTAGAGGCTTTCAATTATTGTAAAGGTCGTTTAAAGTAAATTTGTATGTTAAATCTTTGAATTGAGCAAACAAATATTATTTAATTTTACATAAATAAATCGTCGTTTATCTCGAGCTGTGTTATCTCTTGTAGCTGCCCCCACGACCAGAAAATACGTACTGCCAATATTTAAATAAAAGTATAAAAGTATTTACAGAAACTACAATTGAATGGAGAACAAGGAGCTGAAAGTCGCACATTGCAGCCACAAATCATCAGCAACGCCCACGAAGTCCACGAAAATAAAACGCTTGACAACCAAAGTGAAAACGAGAAAAATATAAAAATTTACAAAAATTGAGCATAAATATAAAATATATATTTTTTGTTGAAATTTGTGTTTTTTTGCCGAATTGCTGCCGAAATCAGAAGCGATGCAATCAGTTTGTCTCACGGGTGACATAAATCCACTGCGATATCACAACTGATGCCCGGACGCCAACAAAACAGTCAAATCAATACGCATCCAGCACGAGGATGTGCTCCAGCACAATTTGACAGCGTTTTCTTTTTTTCGTTGTTCTGCAGCAGATTTGTTTGTTCCCCGCTGATCCTTATCGGATTGCTGATTCGAGTCTAGAAGTTGTTGGCATGCAATGGACTGGAAATAACACAGGTAATGGGCACATTTGCGTGGAGGCGGATACACAAAGTGCACAATTTACGGTGTCAGCTCGAGCAGGACATATGGACATATGGGGCGACAACATCCCGATCCTGCACCATGCAAATGCAATATTTGCAGTTGGACCACAAATCGAAGGAACAAGCCCAACACAAATACAAACAACAACACAAAAGTTAAGTTAACAGAAACAGAAACAGAAACTAAACAAAGTAAGGTCAATTTTTAGCATTAACACTCAAGGGTTTTCTGGCTGGCTGGCTGGCAGTTTACTTATGCATAGTTAAAAGGTAATAAAAACCCATCACGCCTATGGGACAGATCGTTAATGTACAGATACAGCTGGAGGTGGAGCTGAAGCTGGAGCAACAAGGCTCTGGCCTTGTGTGTGTGTAAGCATATTTTTGGCAGAGAGTGTTATTGTTGGTTATATTGTTTAAAAGGGGGGCGTCAGCGTTGGGGCATTTAGTTGGCGCGTGATGATAGCTTGCGAGAGAGCAGTGTAATTGTGCTTGGAAAATACTCACTTTCTTCCTCGATATCAACACGATTCTCCAGCTCCGAGGTGCTCTTCTGGCGACGCAGCAGCTTCTGTTTCGGCTGACAGCGTGGCAAATTCGGAGCACAATCTCCATGGGCATTCAGCTTGCAGATGCGACAACGCAGGCCCTGACGTGTGTGGCCTGTGTCCGGGGGGAAAGGTGTAAGATTTAGCTGTAGATTCAGGACCAGAGCCAGGCACAACTCTTTACGGGCATACGCACCTCTCAAAATTTGCGAGCAGACATCACAAGCCGTTATCTTTTTGTACGTGTACTCCTGCAGATGATGGCTGCCGTCCAGGTTGGGGCGCAGCGATTCCGATGGGGCATTCGAGGCACCATTACGCCTGTGAAGAGGGCAATTGAGATGGTATCAGTAAAGGCCTCCACATACACGCACACACTCACACACACACACACACACACACACACACACACAGGCACGCACACAGATATTCACACTCGTATGCGATGATATGCGTTTAAAATACAACTCAATTTAATTTAATCCAATCCACAAAACTCGTGTAAAAAGTTGCGCTCTTGCTTGGACTAAACGAGTAAATGTAATTATTGTGTCAACCACAATATACAAATATTTATGCCAACATATACAGACATGTATATATATATAGCTATATAAACATATGCGTGCAGCAGAATATTGAAGTGTAAATTTGCATTTTGTAGATAAATCGTGCGACCGCTGACTGTGGCTGGGCGCCAGGCTTTTGTTATAGTATTATTATAACATATAAATATGCACAATGACAACGGCAAACAATGGCAAATACACAATGCCAGTTGAACATTAATCACCGACCCTTGTTTAAAGACACAAAAAGTGGCGCCATGCCAGAAAATAAACAACTGTTGTCAATATTAACAAGTATTTCGTTACACTCATATCAAAATAATACAAAGAAGGCTGCTTTTTATTATTCATTTAAACTAGGTCCTCATCAGCAGCTGCTCACAGACTTAAAGCTGGTAAACGTTCGGGTTTTGTACTTGGTTATATTTGGTTAATAAACAAGGGTATTAAGTCCTCGGCTTTTGCCTAGCCTGTTAATTTGGCTACTCATCATCAAACGTGACACAAGAAACAATAAAATGAATTATATTCTTGGCTATTTTTGGTATAAAAAGCATTTCGTGTATCTCAATAATTTGATGTCATATTTATATGCATAGCATTTGCCCTCGAATACAAATTGGTTTGTTGTTTTTATGTTCCTGATGTTGCTGGCTTTTTCCTCGCTGGCCCCTGTTTTATTTACCAGAAAAGCATACAGCCAAACGATTGGACAGACTGACACACAGACAGACAGACTGACAGACAGACAAAGGCTGGGACATATAGACAATACGCCAGACAATGCTGCAATTGTTCACAGTGGGCGGTCGAGAGGTTCATGTCAGAGATACCCAGGCTCAGGCCCGGGCACAGGCACAGGCACAGGCAGAGGCACAGGGCCGGGCTGAGGACGGGGCCAGGACGAGTGGCTATGGAAGTGGGCCAACTCTCGACGCTGATTGTTTGTAAGTGGCTTATATTGTGCACACAAACAAACAAACAATTCAGCTCAGTTCAGCACGTTGGCTTATAAAGTTGTTAACAAACGTGTAAAATATACAAATTTTTGCATTGTATTTTATCCCTTTCAAGTTAAGTAATTACCATTTTATATATTTACACATTTTACTTTGTACGTGTCTCAGCGTAAAAGCGCAACATTTGCTACAAATAATAAATTGTTTTTGGTTTTTTAAAATGATTTTTGAAAATAAACTTATCAAGCTAAAGCTAGTGTTAAATATTGTCAAGAATTATTTGTATATCGTTAGCTTAGCTTTAAATGTTGAATATCTTTAGCAATTCGTTGAGAAATTATATTTAAGTGTTTACTCATATTCATACATAAACATACACTAGTGTTGATAAATGCTGAAAGCTACAAAAGTATTGAATATACACTATGTTTACACCCAGCCACAATGCAGAGCAGGCATTATTATACTATGGATCAAGATAAAATCTAATTAATTAAAAGCTATCGCTAACAAAAAATATTTATATGTATAGTTGGCCCAGTGTTCAAAAATCTATAACTATTCGGGCTTTTACCCATTTCATTACTCTTGACCACCTTACAACACTATTATTCTATAATAAGCTCTTTCTTACATACAGATCCAAGCTCCTCAACTCTTCAACTCGGCTACTTTACAAAACTATACAAGTTCTTTCTGGAGTACAAATCATCGATTCTCATCTCCTCAACTCGACTACTTTTCAACACTATAATACTATAATACGTTCTTTCTTCCACACAAATCCACGCTTTTCTACTCTCCAACTCGACCACTTTACAATACTATAATAGTCTAAAACGTTATTTTTTGCATACAAGTCTACGCTTCTCAACACTAATCCTCTTAACTCAACTTTTAATTTCAATAAATAGAAACTTTACGAAAACTTTTCAACTACTCTAAGCTCCTTTTTAAATGCTTGCATAAAAAAGTCTAGTTAGCATATGATATGAACTATAAAACTATTTACCAACACTGATAACCTAACCTCAACTCTGAAACCCAACGAACTAACTGTGGGTATATAAATTAAATATGAAAATAACTTTTTAATTGGGGCTTACTTATATCAAGATCACATAGATCACACATATAAGGACTTTACGTATATTAATTGCATTATATATATAGTACAAGTTGTTAATCAAAAAAAAACTAAATACATTTAGTTGGGTTCATGTTTTATACGGCTATTAAATTTTAATATACATAGGGTACACTAAGCACTAAGTGTGGGTGTGTGTGTGTGGGTGTATATATATATATATTAGAGTGTTATAGATAATGGTGATTTAATGTACATGGGGTTGTTCTGCTTTTTACTAGAGTTACGTATTGCAGTTGGGAGGAGTACTAGCAAAATGCATGTTTTACGATTTATCAACATGGAAAAAAAAAGAAAGGGTCATAAAATTAATTATACATTTTTCATTAATGCACCAACTAAAAGTTTCATAAAACCAAAAAACAACAAGAACAACAAAATATTTTGAGCTCCAAACGAAAAAATACCCCCGATTTCTGCTGGCTGGGCGTGTGGGCGTGGCTTAAACGGGGGGCATTAGTAATTTCGAGGCGGAATGCGAAAAGTTTTGCAATATAACAAAAGTTTAGCTGTGATTTTCTTGTCACGTTTGCAAATGTTTATATTAAATCTTAGCGCCAATGCACTTATGAACGAGAAGTAATATAAGTAGTAACATATAGAAAGAGGTATATACATATGTATATAGAAATTGAATAGATAAGCAGATGAGTTTATGAATGAGGCTGCCACGAATATTGCAAAATGTGTTGTCGCCGCAGCAGTTGGCCATAATTCCGCTAAAGCTGACGAGTTATCGCTAACTCTCTCTCTTAGTATCTATATCTCTGCCAGCTCTCACACTCTCTAAGCCGAGAAGATTTTCGATTTATCATCGTTTGCAGCGCAAGCTGTCGGCATGGTATTAAGTATTGTTGGCGAATGCTACCAAACAAATAGAAAAAAAATACATATATATGAAGAAGAAAAAGCAGGCAATGGGCCAATGGGAATGCCATAAACGGCAGCCAATTCGAATGCGAATACGGGTTGCGGAAGTGGATGCGAATGCGGATGCGGATACGGCTGCTGTTGCCCAGTGCATGGCCAATACCAATGCAATTTATCTACAAGCATTTCTATGTGTGTGTGCAAGTGTCTATGGCGGCTCTTCGAAATTTATAGCCAGCAATTTTTCGCATATTTTCCAATGCTTCAACTGGCGCCACAGTTGAATTTACTGGCTACGAATGCGGCCAAGTTCTACGTAACCATATGGACACACAGATAGCCAAAGTTGGAGCCTACTTTTTGTTGGCTGACAAACTTTGTTGCAGTCTCACTTTTGCAAAAGGCAGCTTTTTTTTATGAAAGGGTTTACCGTGGAGGGAAATATTTGATAGATGGACATAAATGGGCCTCGAGGCACACGATCGCAGCTCTTAAATCGAGCGAAGATCTCATAGTTATACGATATATCTTTAAATAATGCCTGTTAGGGTAGTTGGTCTTCGGCTTGCTAAATTAATTATTGCCAGCTTGTTTTTGCTAAAAATATTGTTTACTATTTTTTGTGCTTTTAGCAATTTTAATTGATTTCACGGCGGCTGTGATTGATGGTCCGAACATCGGACACAGGCGCAGGTGCATTTTATGGCTGACGCTCGAAAAATAATATTCACAAAAAAGAAAATATCAAAATATTTATTTAAAATGCAACTAAAAACTTGTTGTCGCTGCTTTTGTGCAGCTTTGCGTTTTTTTTTGCTAAATTTTATATAAAATATTAATGGAATTTGTAATATTTCTTGGGGTTTTTACAATCGAATTGGTTTTAATTGTGTTTTGGTAGCTGCTAATACTACATTGGCGTGCAACATTTACTGCAATTTCTTTTTTGTTTTTTGTATTTTCTTTTTTTCTATCAAGCTCTAATAAAGCAAAATATTTAAATTTATATTTAATTAAAGTTGTATTTGTTTCTTTTGTTTTTTGTACCATTTGTTTAGAAACATAAAAATTGTTTTTAGTTGCTTGATTAATTTGGTTACCTCAAGGTCAGAACGGTTGATACGGCGTGGTACATTTGATTTTGTCGGGGTGGTTGGCTGATTGTAACATATCATACGATATATATATATATATGTATATAATAGTTTGTACGATTTTCGATTGAAATTTGTATATTCGGCAGTAAATGAATATTTTGTGTATGTATTTTGTTTTAGGATGTTGTATAGAGAAAAGTGTAGAGAATATTAGTAAATGCAGCAAGAAGTTTAACTAGGCTAACTTAAGGGATATTTAATAGCTAAAGGATGCTTAAAGTTAGCTTAGGATTTATATTTTAGTTTTCACTTCATAGTCAAGCGGAAGGGGGCGGAGGGTGGTTGGACTGGGGCTGGTTGGGCTGTGTGGCTACAGTTAAAAACCACAAAATGCAACATGCAAAATGTTAACCTCTGCAGCTTCCTCTTTTCGCGACGTGATTAAATTACTTAACATAAATTGCAGAAAATACGGCAGATGCAGAAATTGCACAATTTGAACTGTTGCATAAATGGCGCAAATATTTGAAAAAGGTTTTTCACTTTTTCCACGTTTTTTTTTCCTTCTCTTTTTATTTCATTTTGCCAGACTTGTTTTTTTTTGGCATATTTTTCGCGGCTTTTAGTCATATTAAAGTGCGGGGGGGGGGGGGGGGGGGGGCGGTAGGAGGGGGCGTGTGGTTGTATATTTGGGCGCTTTGCCGCGCTTCATTTTGTATCTATGCAGTTGGAACATTTTCCGACAATTTGCTGCGTATTTTGCGCGCAGCTGCTTTTGCTTTTTTGCTTTTTTACTTTTCAGGACTCGAACTGGAACTAAATATTTCGAGTGCGAGAGAGATTTGGCATTTGGGCTTAAATATAGTCAACAAACATATATAGATTCTATGGGGGAGTAGGTGCTCTTGTTATGGGAGTGAATGGGGGTATGCTTATTGGGTGGGGGGATGGGGGATGTGGCTACTTACCTATCTGCTTGTGTTGCTGAACCAGAACCCGCCGGCTTTAGGCTCTTAAATGCTTTCAGCCACTTTGTTTTCATCGATGGCGCTGTGGCGGCCGAGAATTTGCGTTCGTTGCGCGGCGAAGTTGGCTCAACTTTGCTAACGAATAACTCCTTCTGCAATTGCCAAGAGAGAGAGAGACACAGACACAGACAGAGAGTGAGAGAGAGAGAGAGATGGAGGAAGAAAGAGAAAGAGAGAGATAGTGCTTAGTGGTGTGGTAAATACAATTTGACCAAAGTCAAAGCAGCTCGCTTGCAAGCAATTTGCATTTAAGCGTCTCACGTTGCAGTTTAATTACAGCCATTAGTACAACACACACACACACACTCACACACACACACACAGAGAGAGTTAGCTACAAGCTCGTTATGGCATAATTACATGTATACAAGTTGTATTTAGGCGCAAATGTTAAATATTTAACTGCATATCTGATATTCGGTTATTTTGATAGGCGCTCTAACAACTTCACAGCCATTTGTGCTGTGCGTGCCATGGCAAATAAAGCTATTTTAATTAATAATCAACACTTTGCAAAATACCACAAAATGTAATCATGCCACGCACACACACACACACGCACACGCACACGCATACACATTTAGACACTTATGTGACAATAATTAAAACCACGTGTGACATTTGGTCACAGTTCAGTTTAGCTTTTGTTGTTGTTGCCGTGCTCTCTGACTAATGCTGGTAATCACAGTGTGCACACTGCTTAAGTAATCCAGCAATAAATGCATAAATATCGCATTATGCGGTTCTTTTAATGGCATACGGAATGTTGATTAAATGCAATTTATCTATATGTAAATTTATAATTATTTAGAGCTGACCCACATGACATGTGGTTCTGTGCGTTAGGACGAAAGCTAATTTTATTATAGAAAAAATAAAACGAAACCTTGTCAAATATGTCATTATTAAATAACAATAAATTTAATGGAGCTTAGTTGAACTTATGAAAATCGCATAGAAAGGCGATGTTGTGGAGGGATTTTGATTGGGTGAAAGGTAGTCAGAGAAAGAGAGAGTAAGAGAGAGAAAGAGATACAGAGAGATAGAGAGAGAGAAAGAAAGAGAAAGAGAGAGCGATAGAGAGAGAGATAAAAAGAGCAATAGAAAGAGAGAGAGGAAGAGATGCAGAGAGAGAGAGAGATAAAGAGAGAGAGAGAGAGAGATGAAGAGAGCGATAGAGAGAGAGAGAGTTGCAGAGAGGGAGATATACAGCGAGAGAGAGTGAGAGGAGGGGAGAGGAGATGGAGGTTAATTAAAAAGAAAACGAAAAATTCGAATGCGATAGTAAATATTAAAGTTATTGTGGGAGAAAAGGTGAGTGGGAGGTAGAGGTAAATAGAGAGAACAAAAAAGACTGAAAAAAGACGTTTGCCCAAGTTATTTAACATTGTAATTTTGCCAATTTGGCTGCTTCACAACACTACAACATAAAGAGCACCAAGCGAGTTTGCAGTAATTAAAATACATTGAGACTTAATGCTTCTGCTTAACTGACTGGCATAAAACATAAGCGACTGCTTAACTGGCTTCAATCAGAGTATTTATAAATCATAAAACCAGCTTTGCAAAGCGAAAAGCACAAACTTTTGGCTGTCTATTTCGGCCAAGGACCTTGAACAGCTGCATAGATCAATTGCGCTGTGCTGGCAGTGAACGATATTGACTTGTGTTTTCAACTCGGAGACAGGCGGATAGACATGCCTGATGATTACGTGTAGCCTTGCCACAACAATCACAGAAACAGCCCGAAAAAAAACAATAACAACAACAACCAAAAATTCAGCACTCTCGCAATTGCAGCATTTATAATGCAGCGAGGCGCGTGCACTTTTGATGCCTGTCGCCTGACGCTATTGTTGTTGTCGTTGTTGAGCACTATTTTCGACATGTTACTTGCTTCTTTTTTGGGGGGGTAAGGGGGGTGACCAACTGACAGATCTGACAGTGGATTGGCGTGAGAGCGTGAGCGCGTCCTTGTGCCTGACAGCAGGATATTGAGTTTGTCATGCGGCTGCAGGGCTCGGGCTCGGGCTCGGGCCGGTGTGGCAGGCCTATATCGATATCGAATGTTCGCCATCATAAAATAACATTTTTGATGGCAACAACAATTGCCATTATAGAATGCATTTTATAAACGTTTAATTGATTCGCTGCAATTATAAATTAATTGCATTGCCTCGGACAAAGCGATGCCTGCAAAAATATTATGCGCAATTTAATATGCACGAAACGATACACAGCCAGCATTTAATTAAGATAAATATTTTATATGAAAATGATAAACTAAAAAGCAAAGATAAAGCTCAACTTAAAGGAGCACACATGAAAATCGTGGCAGGAGGCTGGGAGCAGGCCAAGATAAGAAGCTGCCGCTGCCTGACGTTGAGCACCAGCATCACGAGCAGTACAAGTGTGTGTGTGCGTGTGTGTGTGTGGGGGTGTGAGTGTGTGTGTGAGTGTGTGTGTGTTTGCTGGCGCCCAAGCGGGCTCCTTCGTAATGGACATGTGCCTGTCATGTCGCCTTTGTCATTGTCGTTAGCGGGCGTGTCCTGTGCCATAAATTTATGCATGCAGTGCATAAAATTCAAATTAAAGGAGCCGCCGCCGCCGTCGCCGTTGCCGTCGCGTATCCTGCCAGCGACAAGTACACGTTTTGACACTTTACAACACTAGTGGGTCTGGCCTGCTGTCGCCATAGCTTTGCCTGGCAACTGTTACCCGCAGCTGCCCTGCAACAACGTGGGCTGCTTTATCGCCCGCTTTGCTGTCAGGGCCAACTACAGCTGCTAAAAGCAAGCGCCAGGTCCTGATGTGGGCGTCAGCGTCAACGTCTCAGCAATCAGTGGCGAGCAGCAGCAGCAGCAACAGCAGCAGCAGAGGCAGTCGCCACACAATGAGAGGCATCAAATGTTGCTAACCCTCCCACGCTCTTGGCCCTACACTCGGCTGCCTTCAGTCATCAGGCTTCCAAGTGCTTTTGAGTTCAACTTCAGTTGCATATAATGCCCTCTAATTGATTTCCTTTGCAGCTTGGCCCAAAAGTGGCCTCTGCTGACCGAAAAGCACTTGAAAATGCTGTGCATACTTTTATTTCGCTCCTCCTTTTTAGCTGATTTTTCATTATGAGCCCGGCTATCAGTGTCCTTCGGGAGAGCGAGCAGACAAAAAAAATTTATGGCTGTCACAATTTTTAATTATGTTGCTCTACGCTTGCCATTGCGATATTGAAACCACAAAGGTATCATAAATTGCCGAGCCCGGGAACGACTGAGACCATAACAACAATCAAAAAAAAAAACATTAAAAGACAACAAGCAGATTGGCAACAAAAGGCGGCCCAGAAAGTGGCTCGCACTGCTGCCAGACAGTGGCCAGCAGCGACAGCAGAGCTCAAGTTGGCCAAACTAAAAATCTGCTCATTAAGGACCGCAACAAAGGAGCGGACCCTTTCGAGATGCTGGCCAGGAAATTCAAGATGAACGAAACAAAGGCAAACGCGCTGAACACTCCTCTTTGGCTCGGCCTGAAAGGCAATTGCAACAAATTGTGGCTGCTTATTAGGGGTTCCAATGCGACTGGTTTTAGATAGTGACAGAGGGGAAGGGGAGAGGCAGAGAGAGAGGGGGGGGGAAGGGGAGGCTCGCCGGGTTAGATTGTGCGCTTGTAATGAGCTATTCGAGCGCGTGGATGTGCGCGCATATTTTATTGCCACTTTGATGAGCAGCTGCCAACAATTTTAACCTATATACATTTTTTTCTTCTCCGCCGTTGCACATTTTGTTGCGCCTTTGTAATTTGCGCAAAAAAAAAAAACAGAAATGAGTAGATGCATTGCCACAGGCAGCTGCAAGAGTTGGCGCTGCAAGTTGCATGCGCTCAGTCATTAGTGGGCAAATGTGGCACGATATGTGCAGCGCTTACTTCATGGCTTTTAGAGCACCAACTAATTGCAGGCAGCCAGGCAGCTGGGCTGCTGGGCAAGCATCATGGGTGGGAGCTGCAGCAGAGACAGGAGCCAGCTCCAGTGAGTGCCGTGCAAACACGCTTAAGACAATTTAGCAAACATGAAACGAGACACAGACAAGGGGCATGGCTCTGCAAGGGTTGGGGTTGGGGGCGTCGGCTTTGCTAGCTGGCCAAACAAACATTTCCGTAAATTACACGCATTTGTCAAAACGAAACAATGCGCAAAGTGTTTATTTGTTTTAGTGAGTGCTTTTGAGCGCAAAAATGACTCAACACAAAAACTGCAGCTAGAAGGCAGCCCAGACAAATACAGTCAACAACCCGCCCCTCCCACCAGCCCCCGCCGTATGTTAGTGTGTGTGTGTGTGTGTGTTGGGAAAATGTAGCAACTTCTAATGGGTTTGCTTGTTGTTGAGATCATTGTTGTTGTTGTTGCTGTTGCCTGCTGCACTCACGCGCGAAATGTAGAGCAGCGATTATGCAACCACATGCAATGACAATGCAGCATCGATCCGGGGCTCTAACCACAATAAACGCGCGCACACACACACACCCACACACACATACACAGAGGGAGAAAGCGCCAGCCATTGCGCGCGTGCTATGCGGCGTATGCGCAATTTGTAATTTTCATTAACGCCTAAAAGCAGCAATTAGTTTTTTTTTTTTTCCTACCAGCGCTCTTCTTATTTTTAGATTTTTGTTCCGGCTGCTTTGTAATCGTGCATCGCTGAGTTTTGCATTGAATTAAACTACAGTTTTTAAACCACACAGCCACACAGCCACATGCTGTCCATATTAAACCACCAAATGACACTGGTTTAAAATCTATCAGAATTAAAATCGTGGCTGAAGCGTGGCTACATTTATAGACTTTAACTGCGCTTTCAGCTTTAAGTCAACATAATTGTGCCTAGAGAGTGTCGAAGGTTTTTAAAGATGTTTTTTAGTTTAAGTGTTGTAAAAATTTTAAATATTGGCATATTTGTGCGTAATACGAGAGTTTTACACAGTTGAATTGATAAATTGATTACTTGGGAAAAATATTAAAGCTTGATTAAAGCTGACAGGAGCATTTAAAGCTATTTGAAGCAGCGGTTCGTAAGTTTTAGTGTTGGATAACTAA